ACAAATCTGTTGGACATATCGATGTGGCTATAACTCGTGTGTTCTACAGCATGTTGATCGTATGTTTTTGTCCGTGAAAATTGTTGTTTCGAGTCAGAAGATGTTGGTGTATCAAGTTATCCATTTTCGGAATTTTTTTCTTGGACCATTGTCGCGTGATGAGTTGACTGTTTTGTGTTAAAATACTGGTTTTACTGCTCCTCTGAAAGACGTTAGTTAAAACGTCTCTGAAATGTTTTACATTACACTTTTGTGGTTGAAGCAGATAATTATGTGTTATGCATGTCATAGTTAGTATTCTATCAATGCATTCGTTGTTGGTGTTTTAAGTCGTGGAAGTTGATGGAAATGATAGTTAACACCATGATATAGTATGTATGCTATTAGAATAATGTCACTAGTGTATGCCGGCCCATTGACATCGATTGTTAACGTGTCCGTGGAAGAAGCTGCAACATCAGTATTTGTGGACAATTTTAAATGGTTTTATGATATTTTGAAATCTAACAGATTCATACTATGGAGACAGATTGAATCTCCAGAGGAGTTGCAAGTGGTATGTAGTGCAGAGTGAATTATTCTCTTGTAGGCTATAAACACCCATTAGATGGTCAATAAGTTGATAAGGGATTACGCAGTGCCGGATGTTTTCTACCAATTCGATGTATTTAAATGCGCATTCGGATACAAACGACAGTCCCAAGGGATTGGATTAGGACTAAAAGGGCTGGACGGAACAGTTGTTTTATTCTTTAGCTCTAACTGTACAGGGTGTTCATTAGGATTCCGACTGAAGTAAACTGAAGGTCAATTCGCGCTATCAGATGTGAGAATGTTTCACGACCATGGGTGTGATGAGAGGCTGGTGCAGTTGGACCGTACTTTATGTAACTTGCTGATTGCGAAAAGCAAAATGCGGAGCTCTTCATAAAAAGGCTGATGTTACGGAGGTGGTGGACTATACGGAAGAAAATTTCAATAAGAAAGTGACTGTAAGTGACGTATACAGCTTGCGTGTGGCTAAAAGTGAATGTAGGCTGGCGAACAGGCTAACAATTTTCCCAGGTGATATAACAGAGAAGATAGTTTACGGTATGCTGGGGCCCAACAATCAACCGGCCTTTCTTTTTCTGGATGCAACTAATAAAACTTTCAATTGGGTTTGTTTTTCTTTGCAATGCCAGGCAGAAATATACCAGTTTGACGAGGTTGTATGCAAGAATGTGACGTAAGACACCACCAACGTCATGTTAATGGATTAAATTTCTTTTAGACAAATTGAGGTTTTCTGTGCACCATTTTGTCGTAGCTGACAACTTTGGAAAGGGTTGGCCGGTGCTTTCTGCATGGACAAGGCAAGAGTCGACTGATGATCTTATTTGGATTTTGGACGCATTCAAAGAATTAATGAGAAATCCCTCAGAAGTCGAGACATCTATAATGAACTCCGCACAGAACGAAATATCTGCCACATAACACAAGTATGACTGGGCTTCTAAACCATTATATGCATTTCACGTGTGCAGTTTTCATTAAAACGGTAGAAAAAACGTAGTGTAAAGCGTCATCAAGAAGACTCGCAATTCTGTTATCACTTAATGCCCGTATCGCCTAGTGAAGACGCAGAATGGATAAATGAGGCGATTTTTAAAACTAGTCCCACAGTTTTCATCATTACTTTAGAGTGATATGCATGATAGAAGGGGGACGTGGGTATATACCTGAGACACAGTTAGCTACCAAAATGCATATATCAGCTACTGTTTTCACAAGTGTTGTTACTCTGAGGAATACAAAAAACAACCAAGTGGAGAGCTCTAATAGGCAACTAAAAAGATACCTTCTAAAGGATGACACTCTGTATGTCGGGATATTTAAAACGTGTTGACTGGTAACAAGGTCTTATAACAGACGACTGACGCAATCGAACGCCATGGCAAATCGAAGGGGAAAGTGTCGATCTCTACAAGCAGCAGCAGCTGTATTATCTAGGTTAACTCCGTCTGCCGGAATGCATGTGCACCATGCGTACAGTTGCAAAAGGCAAAGAGGTTTAAAATTTGTCCTGGTGCGAACTTGACAGACGCAAAGACCAATCACTAATTATTCGGACTTTTTACATATCCACGAATACGAGACCAAGGAAGAACACGATAGCGTAGTCGGATGGAATAGTATATTCGGATGGTTGTGCCAAAATACCGATGCGTTCCAACTAACTGGCTAGAGAGTCGAATACGAGCAGTGCAACGTAACACAACAGCGCGCCAAATGGCGAGGATGCTTGACCGGGTGCCTCCAGCTTAGTGAGTTCAGTTAAACTACCAAGGTCAGCATCAATGTCGAAAGTCGTCAAACCCTAGGCTATTGATTTTGGGGGAGTGTATGACGCTACAAGTTCTCGGCTAAGTATCTAGGCACGGCAGGCTTCACCAAGTGGATCACGCGAAAAGCAGACACACATGCATGCCATACACATCATGGTGTCTATCAGGTAGGTATATGATACTGTTATGTGTGCAATGAAGAGGGTTCACGAGTTGATTCCTCCGTTTTTAAATGCCTTATATTTTTAGTCTTTGGTTTACCACGCGACAGTAGTAGTTGCATGAACGTTTTGATGGGTGGTCCCTTTTTAGGAGGTAGTAGTCATCTGGCTTTTCGTCGACAAAACTAGGGATATATACCAGTGTGCTTTATTTTGTCAGACATGCGTATTATGAATCAGGTGCAAGTGTGTGATACGGGAAGATACACAGCATTTGGACAGAATCACTAGAAAACACTCCAGAGCAGCATAAATCTGCTTTCCAATCCAGCTAGTAGCAATTAAAAAGCGAGGCAGAGTTAATTGAACACATTAACTGCTGCACCAAAGTGATGATGCACAGGCTAAAGCCTAATGATTTTTCAAATCTACCGGCTGTTCAAGGAGAGAGTTCAGGATACCACGTATGTCATTTTATGGACACTCAAATTTTCTAGTGGCTTGATTTTTCGGTTCAAGTTCACAGAAAATTGCAGCGTTTTCAATCTCTTCAAAAGTTGTCAGCAAATAAGAGGCTCTTTCAGAAAAGATCACTTAGTTTATACCATCATACTCCTTTGGAGCACAAACTCAATGTTCACTTTAGGTCTCAGGTTGACCTTACAAGGTAAATTAATAACCTGCTTTTTCATTCCTTTTTGTACGTCTAGGTCCTCAGGTACAGGAAGTAGTTGTTCATCGCTTTTAGGTGTAATAACTAGTTCATGGAGAGTCACCTCTAATAAATCACTAGGAATTTGAAACTAGTTCCCACTGACTGCTGTGCAGTCCAAAGTGTAGCCTGATGATAATTAGTTTCATCAAAATGACGAGCAGTATCTGCAGTATTGGGAGAGGATATGTGTGGAGATGATTTTAAGTTCACACTCTTAATCCAACAATCACCCCGAGACAAGAAAAAGACAAGCTTTTACAGTTATGATCTTGTATTATAATTGATACTTAACGTCTGAAATGGAATGAAGAATACTAGATAGTATTTCTGTTCGACGAATTTGTCGGTGAATATTTCGAGAGCATTAGAGGAGATATTATACGTTCGATTTTGGGGTATGACATCTACCTCGTAGCTCAGTTGGTAAAGCATCGGGTGGGAAACCCGAGGGTTGCTGGTTCGAATCCGGAAGTGGTCCAAACTCTCACTTCACCTTCAAGCATCACACGGTATAAATAATAGTCTGCCAAACCACGGCTATCTCAGATAGTCAAAATGGTTTATTTATAAGAAATTTCTTCAGGAGTGTCGGTAAAAGTTATCTTCCGTCGTTTAATTATCAGTCCTACTGAATGAATCTCCACTTGCAGCTTCGGAGTCATGTTTAACCAGTTTATCAATAGGTGAGCCAGATTGTAAATCACAGAATTCCAATTGGTATTGTTTGAATAAAAATTACTTCACCTACAGTGGGTTTATACAGAAATAATCGGGTTTATTTAAGTGTCTACTGTTCCCGTAAATATGTTTGTCCCATGTTCTGCACAGCATTGTCTAAGTCTCCAAATAGTTCATCGGGCTCTGTGTGAAAGTATAAGAAGCAGATCTTGGGTACAAAGTTCTTTTCGTGTTTACTTTCGACTAAGGTGTCTAGAGTCAACATTGGGACTGGCTAATCATTGTAGTAATCATTCACCGGGAATCACCCATGGATGGGATACACCTAAAGTACCCTCTATCAGTGACACTGTTCCAAAGATAGATATTCAACTCATTTTTAAGGGTATCTGGTAGCTTAGTGATAACTACCCCCAAAGGAAAAAACCTCCATAGCTTACCAACTCCTTCCGTGAAAAAGTTGGGAAGAATATTGTGTCGGCTGTTTTAGATCTAACCCGAAAACGTTTTCCTTTCAGACTGAATTAAGGACTTCACTTTAGGAGCCACCTACTACGTAGATCATGCTTTTGAGCCATATGATAGACCATAATTATGTCTCAGTTATACGATTAGAAAATCCAGATTACTTAACCTTAAACCTCGATTATAGTGAGTTGTTTCCCTTTAGCAGAGTATATATATCGACGTGGTTATAATTTAATTAGGTTTAATAACGCTGGTTCGAGTCCCTAAGGAGACATCAGTTCACTCATATTTTCAAATACAGCTTACTGATGAGTGCCAGCATGCATGAAATATAGGTGTAGAGCTTGTTGTTGATTACCTCCAACCAACTGACATTAATACTAGACTGAGTGTTACATTTGTTGCTTGAGGAACAATGGTGTTTTCAAACCCTAGTCAAAAACCGGTATGAAACACGCGGTTGACTAGTTAGCAATAGCACACCAAAATCTTAGTGTTAACAGTAAAGCTTCAGAAAGCGGATATAATATGAAAACGATAAAAACAAACCTACAAAGAGAGATAATAAGTCTTATATATATAATCGAGTACTACTGAGACACCCAACATGTTAACAAAGTCTGATCAATCAAGTACAGAAAAGACTGTAAATTCCAATACCCGATAAGTGCTGACCAGAACTTACTTAATATAACCCCAGTAACCAAGGGGATAGTATTATATATTGCTTGGAAAGATGGATATTGTGTTAAAGTCTCACTAGGAACATAAACACACTTAAAAGTTCAGGAAACATTTAACCAATAAGTCTGGAATAAGACAAAACTAATAAAACTCAAATTATGTACCAGTTAAAAGTAATTAAAAGAAGAGAATTTTGTTTCAAGAAGTAAAATCTATTTATAAAAGGAAAATAGATAGAAGTCAAGTTTCATGCATATCGAATGCGAAAATCAAAATGGTATTTTCTGTGATAAAACTTCATTCTCTAATCTTCAATCTTGATAGATCCTCTGTACAACCAGGTAATTCTTCGAATAAGGGACGTACTTTGAAAATACCTGTCGAAGAAAAATTCAGACAAAAATCACTAAAATAAATCAACTTCCCTAGCTTGATATTGTTGCAGTAAACATAATAAGTTCGATAATTTAAACTCCCCAAAATATTCAATTTGAATGTTTGTGGGGATTTATAGATTTTTCAAGTTGGTATTCATCATAGACTGCATCAGTTAGAGGAGCATTGGAGATCTGGGAACAATGAACAACTATCCTTTCCTAGTATGAGACTCCTCAGCAGTGAGCATGTATGACCCCGCCTCGCTAGGGATTGAACCCTGGACCTTTGGGTTCCGTGGTCAGCATGTTAACATTCAGTCACTGGGTCGGAATCCAACGGTTCATGTTCCCAACTTCTGTCACTTCACGATATAGCGTGACCATCACCTAGTCTCACTGTTGAGTATATGTCCTCAAGTCCACCAGGTTTGTTCCACCGGTTACGACTTCTCACTGGAACTTTAGGAATCACCTCTCGAAGCTGGTCACCAATGAGCATTAGAGATTAATTCAATTTGCGAGTTTGTGGGGATTTATTGAATTCAAGTTGATATTCATCATGAACTAATATCAGTTGGAGGAACATTGGAAACCTGGGAGTACTAGACAGCTGTTTCACCCCAGTATGAGGCTCATCAGCAGCGCGTACCCATGGCCCCGCCTTAACCTGTAAGAATAGAATACCTGTTAACAACTAACCTTTTGCACAGCTTTTACTTGTACGATTAGTATTCTCCGGTGTTTCTTTGACTAATACGACCACATTGCGACTAACTGCTTCAGGAGATTTCAAAGGGAACAATGGACAAGACTTCTGTCTATCAAGGGTAGATAATGACTGCGCGGAGAAATGTAGGCAATAGAAAACAAATCAGAAATCAGTTTCTGAATAAAACTTGATGTATTAGAAATCTACTTTTAAAATACTTTATGAGATGCATTTAACAAACATGAACACTTTCAAATAATAAGCAATGAGCTACACTTGATGTGTGACGACTACTAGTACTACTTGACTGCCTAGACCTCGGTAGGTAAAGCGAGGATCGAACCCATGATCCAGTGGTTAGAATTTGAGTGCCTTAACCAATAAGACACACTGTATTTTTGACCACCGTTCCCATAGACTGATGAAACGAAAATACGATGAAACACACGTTTTAGACTTCACTGTTAGCTATTACTCAAATATAGTCGTGTGGAGTTGTGGTTGGCCGACCTAAACATTCAACTTTCAACCAGCAAGTTATAAGTGTGAAATCCACTCCAAATACTCATGTTTGGGAAGTTAGGTAGTACGATCCTTCCTCACAAAATATGTGTGACTCATTGCCTCGTCGATGAAACTATACATAGTTGCTGACTTGCAGTCATCCGTTTTTATTTAATATAACTGTAAATATGTGATTACTGCATGAATGATAAAACTTAACTACGACAATAGCAGTGATTACCTTCAATGAAGGTGTAAATTACTACATATCGGTTTTAGTTACGTATCTATTGCTTATTTTCTTTAAATTCCTCATTTCAAGATACTTACTGAACGAAAAATGTTTGTATAAATCACAGCAGCTTCTGAGGGGCTTAATGATGTAGTTATGACAATTTTCGAAAAATGTGAACTGTTACTTTGTGCAATGTATCTCAACAATGAGATTACATGGGTGTAGTATACCTTTGATGAGTTTCATGTTAGTTTAGTCAGGTAGCAACGCTGACAAAGTGTGAAAAAGATGTCCCTAACAGGAACTTACATCAAACTGCTTTAGTAATTTAAGCGTAATATCTAATGATGTGAGCAACGAAAGTTGCTGAATATGAAATAAGCTAAGTGACTCGCTTATGAACATGATAATTAACTGAAAACTCTATGAACAATTTCCCTAAACTCTTAGTTAACACCTTACTCATGACATGGAAAACCAATCGTTTTGAAGAACAGCCTGTGAAAGGGAGACGTTATTCACTGGAAATGGCGAGTTTTATACACATTTCATATGAAGACTAACTCAAAGATATGAGAGATGATTATAATTAGCATTCCATTGATTATTTGTGAATATCAGTTTGATGGAAAAATATTTTCCCATTTATCCAGATAAGATACGGCGAGAAAAGACGAATGTGGTCAACATTTTCTGTGTGAACAATCAGAGGGATGTAGAGACCTTTAAAAGTTGGAGATTTGTGAGGACTTATTGATTTCAAGCTGGTATTCATCATGGACTGCAACCAGACGGAGAAACAATGGAAACCTGAGAGCACTGGACAGCTGTTTCGTCCTACCATGGGACTTCTCAGTCGTGCGCTCCAACAACCTCATCAGACGTTTAACCGGGTGCGGTCAGGTCTCGTGGTCAGCATACAACCATTGAGTCACTGGGTTGGAATTGTGAGAAGTAGGAAAATGTGGACCATTGGACTTCGACTGTGTGGTAGAATAGTAACGTGCTCACCGCGAAACCTCACTGTCCTTGGTATGACCCCTGGTGAGGTTATAGAGAAACATTTCATATTAGGATGAAACAGCTTTCCAGTACTCCCAAATTTTCAATAGAAAATCTAGATATCCTCGTAAGAACAGCACAATGAAATATAATTTACATTCTCGAGATAATATGCGCTTTACGTTCACTTGTATACATTTTTTTGTAAAGCAGAGGTTACTTAAACTTCAAACATGAATTTGAAAGCAACTGTTGAATGTTTATGGACAAATTAGTTTATTTGGATTAAGTAGGGTAGTAATGATGGATAGTAGCTAGCAGTGGAATCCAAGATGCGCATTTCGCAGTATTTGGGACTCGTCAGCTGGATGTAACTGACTCCTAAGTGAGTGATGTTGTTCCCACCGGGATTTGGACTCAGGACCGATCGCCTCAAACACCAGAGCGTTATCCACTATACCACCGAGTAGGTTAGCTTAATAATTCAGAGATGTTTTCCGATCCCAAACGTTTGACTGGCAAAACTTTATCAGGAATTCGGAGAAATATAATTTAATTACGGAAACAAGAAATAAAACAGGAAGGGATTAAGTGTTGAATTTTGTCGTTGTCAGTCGTAACTATAGACAAATCAACTATCAACGAGTGTAAACTTCCGATTGTATCGAGACAATATTTCCAATGAAATATGATACATCATAAATGTATTAATTTAAGATACAGTAGAGACACTCTGTAATGACAAGCAAAAAACAAGGTGAAACCAAAATAAAACTCAGCACACTTGCTTATCTCCTATAACGAGGGGAAATCAGAAATATACATTTTGGCATCTATGAATGCAGGCACTGATGATATTGGTGGGTATGATGTTGTTCATACACCACTAATACTATTACTGAAAGCAAAAACATAAACGAAGCTTTCTAAACTGCTCAAAGAATGGACCCATACTTACAAAGTCAGAAGTTGCTTAGGTATTAATCATATCTTTCTGTCATGAATGTTTACACACAGTGATGTTATTTAGTTCTAGTAATATTTCGAGGAAAATTATTGCCTGTGATCACACCAATTGTTGAAATTATTTGTTTCAACAAATAATAGATAATTCCAACAATTGATATGATCATAGGCACTAATTTTGCTCTGAATATTACCAAAACTAAATGACATCATTGTGTGTAAACATTCATTACAAAAACATATTTATAATAAAAAGATGCATACAGCTTACCAGTCACCCTGACAACCTTCAGTAAAAAGTAGTGAAAATTTAGCGTAGAACATATACGGTAAGAGTCTGTAGTCTAAACAGTTGGATTGCAGGTCCGCATCCTATCAAAATTATTAAACCGAATGTTACGTTTGACTTAGGTCAACTAACAACAATAGTGACTGGCTGACGAAATTAACGTAGAACCTCGCAAACGAGTACATCAGCTCAAGCTGCCACACTTCACAATAATATACAAAGAACAGGTGGATAAAAAAAGCGATATCAAAGTAGAAATAGTGTGAAAGAACAAATAATCTAAAGATGATGGTTAGTGCGAATATTCAAGCTATAGATGTCAAGCAGTGAATACATGTGAGCCGTTGTGACCGATTTCCAGCTATGCCACTAGGAGCCCTCAACGACTGATTCTCTACGTCTTCAGGATCCCAGCCAGGTAGTCTACGAATCCCAACATGGCTCACACCAACAGTAAGAGACTTCATCGACTGTTGCTATGTCTTGGTCTGGCTACCCTAAACGCTCTTCCAACCTAATACAACTTCCTGCAGTGTGGAATGTCGAGGTAGCCACTGGTTTGGTAAGCGCGGTACATATCCAAGCCATCCCAATGGAATAAGGTTTACAAACTCATCAATCGACTTGCCTGTCTTGCTTAGTATCATTCGCCTGACCTGAACATTGCTTACAGGGTGATTCCAACAAACGCGAGCCATGCTATGAAGATATCTGTGACCAAAACCCTGTAGTCGCTTCACGTCTTCTAATTTTAACGACCATATCTTATAACCGTACAACAGAACAGAATGAAATTCAGTGCACTATACTCGTTCTTTAATAGATAGTCAGATATTTCGCCAGTTGATGCAACAGGTGATGCAAGTTGGCAAATGCCGAACCAGCCTTCTATATACAAACCGAGATTTCGCCAGTAGCCAGCCTACTTGTATTGATGCAACTCCCTAAGGAAGTGAAGTGGTCGACAGGTTCCATCACTTTACTGCCTATCATCAAACTGGGATTACTTGCGGTAGATAGGTCCTGGAGCGAAAAGCATGCCAAACATACTCAGATTTCTGCTCAACGCATCCAGAAGACTGCATTTTGCCAGTGTCTTCAGTTAGCAGGACAATATTGTCTACGTACTCCATCAGGTAGGTCAGTTCCTGTGAATCAGACGAGCCTGAGACTATGTCCATTAGTATGTGCATGACGAAATTAAACTGGAATGATGGCGTTGGGTATCCGCTGGTGGACACAACTAGTTATCGTCGACTCACATGACAACTCTTCATACTACACGGCTGCGTAAGTTCGAGTAGAGAGCTTTGATTAGCGTTATACACTTGCTGGTGACGCCTTTCGGTCAGACACTACTAGAACACCTCACGATCGACAGAGTCGAATACCGCCTTCAGGTCAAGAAATATGGCAAGTATCGACCACTGGAGGGTAAAGGTATGATTCATGGACCCTTGTCCAGCTGCCTGAAACCTGTCTGACTTCTTTGAGGTTGCTATTCTCGAGCTCCAGTAAGACAACAGTAAAAAATATGGACCCTAGGATCTTGGATACAATATTGGTCAAAATAATTCCCCTATGGTCGTCACTAGAAGATTTCTTTTTCTTCTTAAACCGTACAATAGTTTTGATGCGCGACGAACGTGAAAATAAAATATCACGCATAAAAATATCGGTGAGATTTCAAACTCCTTAAACAGCGTGCACTTTATGGAAATGGACAAGAAACTGAAAACTGAAATGCACGACTTGAAAGGACTGCTGCTAGATTACGAAATGAGAGGACGAAGACTATCCGAAACACGTGATGTATTAACGTTATACATTTTGAATAGTCCGATAATTACACAGTAACCTCTCAAATTATTTAAATGAAAATTCAAAAGAGGTCAAGTAAGCCAACAGGAAACACAAGAATAGGAGGAGGAGACATGAGACAAAATTTGAATCACATCACCTTTGGTATGGAAATTAAAATCAGTACTGACAAGGTAGGTTCAAAGTGAGTACATATTGTTCTATTATTATACGAACACAACTTGGGCACTATGGCTGACTAAAACTTTATTTTAGTTTGTTTAATAGATGTTTCAGTGAGCCAGTTTTACTAGCTGGGTAGTGTTTCTAACA